GGAGCAGCTCAGCTGAATGGTTCTGGTTCAAGGTCTGTCATGAGGTTACAGTCTCTAAAGATACAACTGGGGCTGCAGGGTTCACTCCCAGCTAGCTCGTGGAGCTACTGGCAATGAGGCTCCAGTTCCTTGGCATGTGGTCCTCCCCAGTGCACTAACATGGTTTCAGCCAGAGCAAGTGATTAGACCAGAGACAGGAATAGAGAACCAAAAGAAGTGCAGTCCTTGATCATCTCACCTAGGAAGAGACATACCATGACTTCTGGTTAATTCTGTTGTTGTTTGTTTTTGTGACAGAGCCTTGCTCTGTCACCAGGCTGGAGTGCAGCGGTGCGATCTTGGCTCACTGCAACCTCTGACTCCTTGGTTCTCCTGCCTCAGCCTCCCAAGTAGCTGAGACTACAGGCGTGCGCCGCCATGCCTAGCTAACTTTTGTATTTTTAGTAGAGATGGGGTTTCACCATGTTGGCCAGAATGGTCTTGATCTCTTGACCTCTTGATCCACCCACCTTGGCCTCCCAAAGTGCTGGAATTACAGGCGTGAGCCACCGTGCCTAGCCAATTCTATTGGTCTTAAAGATTTATCTCAAATATTTATCTTGGCACACTGCGGGAAGGGATGACGGCATAAGGTCTGAATATCAGGAGAGAGAGATTGCTGGGGTCTATCTTGGAGGCTGGCTCCCACTCTGCTCTCTAGCCCCTGTAAATCCACAGTCCTCCCATATGTAAGTACATTCACCCCTTCCAAGGAACAAGACAGTCCCATCAGCTCACAGCATCAGCTCAGAGTTCATCTTATCTGTGTTAGGTGCAGGGGCAGATGATGACCCTAGGCTGTTCTCAGGTACAGCTCTAAGACAGTTCTTCCTGATCTGCAAGGCTGAGAACTAGATATGTTATCACACTCCCAACACCCAGCATACAGTGGTGGGACAGTTACATGATGCCCAGACGCTCCTGTTCAGAAAGGCTGCAAATGAAAGGCACACACACTGCTGGTCCATAGGCAGTTCTGAAATCCAGCTGGGCGAGCACTGAAACCCAGTGCTACTCCTGCCAGGAAATGACTTTCCAGACTGTTGACTCTGCCCTGGGAGACTTAATTTCATCTTAGGAGTCAGGCTTTTACATGAAAGGGGGTGTGGATTTACAGCAAAGCATTTTTCTCACCTTGTTTCCTGCCTGTAGAATCTTGGAAATCTCACGGCCGGTTTTTTTTTTTTTTTTTTTTACTTTGTCTCTTTCAGTTCAAGTTGACCAAGTTACTGCTGATGTAATTATTTTTTTGAACTTTGTCTCCTGTGAATCATATTGAGGCATCACCTTTTGATTTTTCTTTTTTATTTTACAGATAAGGTCTGGTTCTGTTGCCCAGGCTGGAGTGCGGTGGCATGGTCTTCGCTTACTGCAGCCTCAATCTCTGAGCTCCAGCAAAACTCCCACCTTAGCTTCCCGAGCAGCTGGGACTACAGGCACGTGCCATTGTGCCAGGCTAATAATTTTCTGCAGAAATGGGGTCTTACCATCCTGCCCGTGCTGGTCTCGAACTCCTGCACTCAAGCGATCCTCCCACTTCGGCCTCACAAAGTGTCAGGATTACGGGCGTGAGCCACTGTGCCTGGCCCACCTTCGTCTTTTCTCCGGTTTTAACAAAGGATTTTATAGTTACACCCTCACTTTAATCTTTAAACCATATTTTCTTGAGTGTTCTGAATTTAATCTTTGCTCTGAAGCCACTTTTAAATGTTAGTGTAATCATTTGCCACCTGGAGAAGCTGTGAATCTTCTAAACCAGTGAGCACTGGTTTCTTTTTCAACAGTTCTTTCTTTAGCTTATTTCATTCCTGTCTTATTTTATTACAAGTGGCAAGAAGAAACCAAAGGCATTTTCACTCTAGTTGGAAACAGACTTAGCTAGATCACTCACTCCTTAGCTGTATTTTCCACTTTCCACACAACTGCAGGTGATAGCGTTGCTGAACTTCCTGCCTCTAACCAGGACTTCCCTTTCTCCAGATCCCGGGAATACTCCCAGGTTCAAGCAATTCTCATGCCTCAGCCTCCCAAGTAACTGGGACTACAGGAAACTGCCACCACACCCAGCTAATTTTTGTATTTTTAGTAGAGATAGGGTTTTGCCATGTTGGCCAGACTGGTCTCAAACCCCTGGCCTCAGGTGATTTGTCTGCCTTGGCCTCCCTAAGTGCTGAGATTACAGGCATGAGTCACCATGCCTAAACAAAAAAAAATATTTTTTAGAGATAGGGGTGTTGCTGTGTTGCCCAGTCTGTCCTCAAATTCCTGGACCCAAGCGATCCTCCTGTGTTAGCCCTCCTGAGTAGCGGGGACTACAGGTATGCACCACCATGCCCGCCTCCAACTGTGAGGCATTTATCCAGTTTCAAAGCACTGTGGGCTTTCAGCAGCACTCTCCTCAAAGTCCACTGCCTGATTCCAAAGGCACTCCTGCATTGAAGGGTTTTGTTATGGTGGCACCTTGCTAACAGATACACAAATCTGTGTTATATATTGCTCCATACATTACAAATGAACTCAAAACTTAGCTGCCTCACAAATCCTGAGATCTCAGAATCTGGGAGCATCCTAGTCCGGTGGTTCCGGCTTGAGGCTTGCATGCAGTTATACTCAAGCTATTGACCAGAGCAGCCAGCTCTGAAGACTTGGCTGGGACCTGAGGGCCACCTCTAAGCTTTCTCTCATTGCTGTGGGCAGGAAGCTTCAGTTCCTTGCTGTGTGGGCCTCTCCATGGGGTCACTCACAACAGGACTTCTTCCCCTCCCCCCAGGGCGAGGGACCCAAGAGAGACCACCAGGACAGCC